TTATATTTTCTCTTTGCAAGAGATCTCATTACTGTGTGTGTGCTTATGTATGGGTATATGTGTAGGTGTAGGTGTACCTGTATGTGTATCAACACACACAAAGAGGTAGATATGTGAAATGTATATCATGGGTAATTTTGTTTACAACATACTAACATTGCAAGCTCGAGGCTTTTCATTCAACTGTGTGTTGTGGCAGTGTTAGTGATGACTGAGGTTGGAGACAAATATCTACCAATAAAGAGTAGATCCATGAGATTTGTTATGTATTATTGACTGTAATGTAGAAAGAAGCAAAAAAAAAAGTCACAGCATGGATATACCACAAATAATTAAAGTGACTTAAAATGCAACAACGCAATTTACAGCAAAATAATATAGCAAAACAATGCACATGGAAGTCTTGCATTTTACAGAGTATATTGATCATGCAGGCTACATCTCAAGCACAGCAGATGTGTCAAGTTAGACAAGAAGAATTGGAGTCAGTATCGGACATGATGAAAAAATAAGAAATATTGAAATGTAATACAGGCAAATGTAGTGAAAGAAAAGACCTTAACAGATGATGACAACTCACTATAAAATGAGAATGAAAAGTAGGAGTAACTAATTCCTCTCACAACGGTCAAAAAGAAAAGAAATTAGAACATCAATCCAAAAAAAAATTAAGGAACGAACATTTTATATAAGCAATGTATTATTACTCTTAGTTCATCTAATCATTTAACTAATGCAACAGGACAGCGTTTAAAAACATCTCCGTTGTGTCATCTATTTGAGGAAACCTATGTAGAACTGGAGGAATACTGAGAAGTTTGTTGTAAAGATAAAATATATGAATCCATTTCCTTGTATAGTTGTATTAGTAAGGATACTTCAGAGAAACAGAACCAAAGGGAGATTATATTTATATATATTATATATATGTATAATGTATATAAAGAGAAAGGGATTTTTAAGGAATAAACTCATGCAATTGTTGGGACTGGCAAGGCAAAAATCTGTAGGGCAGGCTGGCACTGCAAGAGTTGATACTGCAGTCTTGAGCACAAAGGTGGAAAAACTAGGGAGAATTTCTTTTTCTTTGAAGGATCTCAGTCTTTGCTTTTTAAGGCTTCAACTGATTGGATGAGGCCCACCCACATTCTAGAGGGGAATTGGCTGTACTCAAAGTCTATTGATTTAAATGTTAATCACATCTAAAAAAAATCTTCATAGCAACATCTAGACTGAGGTTGGACCAAACAGCTGGGCACCAAGCCTAACCAAGTTGACACAAAAATTAACCATCAAAGTGGAAAAAAAAAAAATTAATCAAGAGTAAAATGTAGGAATGTGATACACAAACAAATAGATAAATCTAACTCACTTGCTGACAGACACCAATTATTTTAGACAATTAATAAACACCCTTCTTGTATTCTGTTAAGCTATCAAATGTTTTAGGGATAATCAATAAATTGCTTGGCATCTCCTCAGGGAGAGTATCAGAAGGTGAAAAAGAATCTATAAATTGTTGTCACTATGCCATGTTATGAAGCACTAGGGGAGCAAAGACAGGTTTCATTTCAGGTCAACAGAATATTTCATATGGTGCCATATTATACCAATATCTAAATAGTTTTGGTGACATTTGCAAGCTAACACCTTTATTCTATGGCAAGACATAGCAAAATATTAGGATTTCTCATTCACTTCTGTATCCATTTTCCTATTGATAATGCATGAGCAGAATAGGAATGCTCTCTTTTTTCTTCAGATTAATTATTAACATATTTTCAGAAATACTGTTAAGAATATTTGAAATGTCAATATCATATTGCTTATGTAATATTTATGTTTATACAAATACTTAATCATATAAATAATAGAGGTTGAAACCGGGAGACAATAAACCCTAACTAAGGAGTCAGGAAAAGATTATGGATAGGGAAGAATTATAAAACTGCAGGTATTCAGTTTCTAGTCTGATGTTCTTCCAAATCCATAGTCATTTAGTGGCTCTAGGCTCTTCTTATTCTCTTCTCAAAAATATAATAATAATTAATATATATTTATTTCAATGTATAAATGTCAAGTTTTTTCTGATATCTTGATGAGCAAAAAGGAAATTTCCACCTGACACTGAGATGTTAAAAGCAATTTTTGGAGGTTAGGAGACTTTTAAGTACCCAGTTTTATGGTGATGGTACAATGTACAGCATGTTCAGTTTCCAGTGGAATCTGGCAGAGAGTGGATACAATTTTCTCAAAAAGTATAGATTTTAAAAAGTCTTAATCTGATAATCCACACTGATAGTAAACAATGGAAAGGTAATTTGATGCTTTCCATAGTAACTCTAAAGCTGGTGAGAGAAAGCCCTTCTATCCTCCCTTATGTTACAGGAAATCAACCCTTGCCAATGTAATTTGTGTTCTTTAACCATTCATTGCACCTAAACAAGATTTATATTGCTTCTTATTCCCTTGATTTAAAACTTTTTTTCCTAACAGTAGTTCAGTATTTCTGACATAGAAAGATATGTACATGGGGACAGGGTAGGATATCAGAAACTCACAGAGAAAGTATGGATTTCCTGTGAACACACAGTTTAATATGTTAAATGCTATATTTTTCTATTTGTTTTCTTAGAGCTCACTCAGAGGCTCTTGACACTGCTATTTTCCTTGTAGCCAGGATCATTTCTTTTTTTCTTTAAAGGAAGCACAGATATAATTTTTTGAACCCCTAATTCTTTTATCGTAGCCTGACATTTGCATTTTACTCTGGTGTTACTCTGTTATTTTTTTTGTTGATGACATATTAGGGATATTTATATGCATCTTCATTTAATTATACTTATTTATGTCTGCATTAAATCTTACATCATAATATGGAGGAGTTTTTGTGGCCTTAATGTGCAGACAGACTTAATCACATGGAATCCATATACATACTTGTATATTTTATCTTTTCAGTGTGATGTTGTATAATATGGTGATTTTAAACATTTGTTCTGTACAGAATCTCTTTATCGAAAGGGAGTGTTTACAAAAGTCCATATAAAATCATTCCCAATGACTTCACTTTCTCTCAATTTGCTCAATTTCCTCATACTAGCCTAGATTCCTCCATGACAAAATATACTTTATGTGTTACAAATAAATTAGTATATGTAAGTTACATTGAAAATGCACTTTGGGTGGAAGAAATACATTAAGTTTTAGGTAAATTTTTATTAACAATTTTAAGTAAGGTAGAAGGTAAATTATACAAAAGAACAGCACTTTGATGTTTCAGTTGATGTGATGGTGTTGGGTCATGGTGGGGGCACTGGGGACAGTTACCTGGATAACACACCGCTCCATCTATTTATCGTCATAGCCCTGACAAATAACATAAATATATGTTAAATAATCCATTTCATGTAACATAGTGTCTCCCCTTAAAAAATAAAAACAAGCACACAAAATAACCTGTATGTACTTGATATTTGAGGGATATTTCCAGGTACCATAGACACATTGAAACATTTACTCCTCACTTATCTTCCCAACAAGCCTAGAAATAAACAGTTGATTTTGCTGATGTGTATAGAGATTAAGATAACTTACAACATTTGCCCAAAGTACTCCTTTGTATGTATTACAAATACAGGTATAGCAGAGACTATGGCTACCTATGTGTATTTCCCCATATAAAGACCAACTGTCTCTACTCTGATCTTTTAGAGTTTCCTTATTTATATACCTTTGTCCAATATAGGCCGTGTGTTAATTGTTTCATCCTGCACCACCTGTAGGCACAATGACTTTCATAGGAATATGTTTTAAAGTAGGGGCTTTTAACGTTTCCACACATAATTGAAATTTGGATTTAAAAAATTCTATTATGTAATTAACATATGTACTGTCATGATTTATGATTGTAACTTGATAAATGTATTTATGCGTTTGTCATTATATGAAAGACACACAGAAAAGTTTAACAAATACCTATAAACCTAAAGCCTAAAGTTTTTACCATTTTTCATTTTTGCTTTCGTCACCTGTGTTTATGTCCATCTACATCTACACATGTATCAAGATTTGCCAGTCTTGGCCCTATTGGCATTTTGGGCTGCATAGTTCCTTGCTGTGGGGGCTTCCCTAATACAGCAAGATAGTTAGCAGCCTCACTGCACTCTGGCCATTGTGCCAGTAGCATCCCTCCTCCAGACGTGATGACCAAAATGCCTCCAAATACTATCAAATGTTTTTACAGGGACAACCATTCCCCAATGGAAAACCACAAATCTCTATCTTCCAACTCTACCTCTGCCTCTATCTCTGTTTCTATTACTAAATATGTGTGTTTTATTTGTGGGAGGTGGATTATTTTATGAGAGTCTAAATGGTAAATTTTGATTTATTTTATTTTACCAACTTTGTATGCTAAAAAAAATACATTATATTACATGAAAGTTACTGACTATGCTCGTGTCTCTATCTAGAATAAGTTTTCTGCTAAACCTGGATGGAAAAACCCAATCTAACAGTGCTGAACAAACTCATTCTCACAAGAAGCACAGACCTTCCTGAGCTGCAGGCTCCATTATTTGGGCTCTTCCTCATCATCTACATCATCTCAGTGGTGGGCAACTTGGGCCTGGTCATCCTCACCAAGATGGACTCCAGGCTACAAACACCCATGTACTTCTTTCTCAGACACCTGGCTTTTACTGATCTCGGTTGTTCAACAACTGTGGGACCCAAAATGTTAGGAAATTTTGTTATGAATCAAAACACAATCTCCTATTATTTTTGTGCCACACAGCTAGCTTTCTTTCTTGTGTTTATTAATAGTGAAATTTTTATTCTGTCAGTAATGTCTTAGGACTGTTATGTGGCCATCTGTGACCCTCTGCTCTACACAGTCATCATGCCAAAAAGAGTATGTTGGATGCTGGTGGTAATTTCATATCTTTACAGCACGTTTGCTTCTCTTTTAGTCACCATAAAGCTTTTTAATTTGTCCTTCTGTGGCTACAATGTCATTCATCTTTTCTACTGTGACTGTCTCCCCTTGTTATCTTTGCTCTGCTCGAACACACATGAAATTGAAATGATTATTCTGATATTAGCAGGTTTTGATTTGATATCCCTCCTGATAGTATTTGTGTCTTATCTGCTCATCCTTATAGCCATTCTCAGGATGAACTCTGCTGAGGGTAGGCTCAAGGCTTTTTCCACCTGTGGATCCCACCTGACAGTGGTCACAGTGTTCTATGGGACTTTAATATTTATGTATGTGCAGCCCAAGTCCAGTCATTCCTTTGACACTGATAAAGTGGCTTCCATATTTTACACCCTCATTATCCCCATGTTGAACCCCTTGATCTATAGCTTGAGGAACACAGATGTAAAATATGCTCTACAAAGGATGTGGAAAAAGCTATGCAATACCTTTTCTTACAGTTCACTGTCCAATGTGATGCCTATAAATTAGGCTACAACTTTAACCTTACTGTGTGTGCCTTCAGAGGAAAAATCAAACACAAATAAGTTCATCATGTATTTCGAGATTTCCTTCTATGTTCCAATCACACCTCTACGTGCAAGCAATACATAGGTTAACAAAACAGTAAAAATCGTTGCCTTCTTCAAGGGGGAGAGATGAAATGTAAACATCATAACTAAGTAAATCCTATAATACAGTAGAATGGGTTGGGGACTATAGACCATAAGAGCAGGCAAGGAGAGTGGGTATGCTGTGTGGGAGTGAGGAAGAATGGTAGGTATAGAAGGGAATTTCACATGACTTTGTTGTTATTCTCAACCTTTAGAATAAACTTTCTAGTGTCTATGTGTGTGTTTGTGCATGGGTGTGTGTTTGTGCAAGCATATTTCTTCTGTTTTGGCCTTCATACTCTTCTATGCAGTGTATTAAGATCACACTTGACTGTGGTTTTGAGGAGGCTCATTGTAGTGCAATGACTTGAAGTCAACAGTCATCTGAATTTGCTCAAATGCCCCCATTCCATGTGGGGGGCTTAGAGTACTGTTCTTTTCTCGTTGGTGCCATTATTTCACATATGAGCCCTAGAGAGTCTAACTCAACACACTTGGCATTTCAGCAACTCAGAAGGTCTGCACTGCATCTAACTTTGTCTAAATCAGTCCTTTTGTCTATAATAGTAGATATATCAGGTAAGATAAATTTCTTGAGGTCTCCCATGGAAGCTTCCAGTTTTTTACAATTTTTTTTTTACCAGCTTGATCTTGATTCTTTTTTTTTTTTTTTTTTTTTTTTGCGGAAGGAGAATATCCCTGAGCTAACATCTGTTGCCTAGCTTCCTCTTTTTTATTTTTATGTGAGCCTCCACCACAGCATGGCCACTGAAAGATGAGTGGTGTAGTTCTGCACCTGGGAACCAAACCTGGTCCACCCAAGCAGAGTGCAACAAACCTAACCATTAGGCCATTGGGCTGGCCCTGATCTTGAGTCTTAAATGCCTGTTTTTGTGTAATGGATATTACTTTTCCCATTTTCCTGAAAAATGAGAATAATTCTTGTTTAAAAGTCAAGCTCTAAATGTTTTTATAACTTTGCATAGGGCATCTACTCTATGGTGAGTTAGGTTTGTTGCCTATCTTTCGTGTTTCTAACTTTCTTCTACTTTGATTCACATGAATGTGTATTATATTTTTGTTAGGATCCATTTTTTGACAGCATTGTTTTTATAATTCCTCTTTTAGGAAGTAAATGAAGTAATCCCATGCTTTTCTCTATGCTATTTCTAGTAAAAGAGTAGTATGATATGTAGCAATTTATGTACATGTTATATTTTCTGAACAGATGTTCTCCTCACCCTCTCTAAATTCCTTCATGGTTTTTTTGTTTGTTTGTTAATTTTTAGTATTTTTAACTTTCATGGGACTTTATATCATAGAGAGACTGTACTGTTTCTTTGTTCACCATCAAGGAAGAAAATTTTCTATGTAGTCAATCAAATTTGAATAAAATTACATCATTGAAATTAAAAAAATATACATGCATATTGTCATGTGGGGATAAATATTTTTAAGAAGTTTATATAGTTGATATTTTAGTTATTAAGAAAAACTGTATACATAAGTATGAACTATGCATATATACATATAAGAAACTGTTTTTATTTCCTAGAAAATGTGTGTTGGACAGAGATACAAGGAAATGTTAATATTAGTTATTGATGGCTGCTGATATTATTAAAATGTTTAATATTTTTGCTTACCTGTTATCTTCAAAGTATATTCAGTGAATAATTATGACTTTCATAATAGAAGAGGTAAAAAGTCTCTTATATCTGGGTTGAAAAAATAAACTGGCTAAACATAACCCAATATCCCACTACTAAAATAAGTCTTCATGTTCTTTTTAATAGTCCCTCAAATGATGACCCAAAGAGAGAACAAAATGTATTGAAATTTATAAATGTTGATAATATATTTCATTTTAAAAGTTATTCTCTTTTTCATTATTAAGTAGACATATTTTATTTCAGAAACGTTTATAGTTTCCATAGAAATTAAAAATAAAAAAATTAGGAATTGATACTAACTGAAATTTTTGATGGACTATTTTGAAGATCAATAAAATTTAATGTATAATACAAAAATGATTTTAAAAAGTCAACAATAATTAGGATAAGAAAAATACAAAAGAAATTTTACTTACACTAAGATTATGAGTAAAAAAACAATCTGTGCTTTAGGTCAGGATGATAAGAAGATAAGAATGGATGTGTATATATGTGTATATATATGTATATTCATGTATATGGACCCTAAGAAACACTACAGAAAATAATTCAGGAATGAAGAGGATCTCAAATAGAAAGTCTGCATCATAAATAATTCCCCTCCACTCCCAAATCAGGTCCAGATGGCTTAGTTAAACCTAGATTTCCTTGACTAGGAACTCTGTTTAGGCACAAAGAAGTAACCAATTAGCTACATATTCTTTCAAAAAACTAAAGAGGAGGTGTATGTCCCAAATTTCTTTATGAGGAGAGCTTTCCCCTGATATCAAAAACAGACAAAGCCGCTATAAGAAAAGAAAGCAACAGAGAAATGTCAGTCATGAACATATATTCAAAAATTCTGAAGAAAATTTTAGCAAACTGAATCTAGCAACATTGAGAAACAATAATGTATGATTGGTTTAACCCAGAAATGTATGCTTGGTTTAGCATTCAAATTCAATTCATGTCATTCATCATGTCAAGAAACTAAAAAATAAAAATTATATGACATCTCAACAGATGCAGAAAAATGTTTTAAAATTCCAATTTCCATTAAGGATAAAAATTTTGACCAAACTAGTATAAAAAGTATTCTTCCTAAAACCGATATAGGGCATTGATGAAAAAGCTATAGCTAACATCATATACAACAGTAAAAGATGACATACAGTTCCATCAAGATCAGGAACAAGGCAAGTAGGATTGGTCTTTTTAATTCTATTCAACACTGTACTCAAGGTTGTCTCCAACTCTATAGGGCAAGGGAAAAAAAGGAATAGAAAGCATCCAAATTGGAAAGGCAAAAGTGAAACTATTTTTATTAGTAGATGATATGATTAGGCACATAGAAAATCTAATAAAATCCAAAAAGCATTGGGAGAACAACAAGTGAACTTAACACAGTTTCAGAATGAAAGATCAATATACAAAATAATGTATATTTCCACATACTACCAGTGAATAATTAGAAATGAAATTTTAAAATATCTGTTTTACCAAATACTTAAAGATAAATCTGAATAAGTATATGGAATCCTGTACTCTAAAACGTAGGAAATACTGGTAAAAGAAATTAAAAAAAAATCTAAATAAATGAAAGATATTCCATGTTTATAATTTGCTTAAATATTCAACATTGTCAAGAGAGCAAATTTCCTCAAATGTATCAGTGCAACTCCAATCAAAATCCAAGTAGGCATTTATTTTCATACAAGTATAGAAACTAAAACAAAAACATATAAAGAAATGCAAAAGACCTGGAATAGCTGAATCAAAAAAAAGCCCTTGCACTATACATACTAAGAAGACATTAATCAATTTCCAGTCGTATTCCAAAGCTACAGTTATCATAACAGTGTGGTACTGCCATAAATATTGGCAAATAGATCAATGAAAAAGTATTGATTGTCCAGAAATAGACACATGCATATATGAACAGCTAATTCTCCACAACAGCAAAGGCAAAAAAAAGCAATTCAGTGGAGGAAAGATAGATTTATCAACAAATGGTCTTGGAATAATTGAATATACATGTGCAAAATAATGAATGCTGATCCTAAACCCATTCAAAGATTCACAATGGATCATAGATCTAAACGTAATACCTAAAAGTCTAAAAATTCGAGGACAAAACAGAAAATCTTCGTGACATGGTCACGCAAAGATTTCTTAGAAACAACACCAAAAACAAATCTGTCTGATAAAATGAAAATTTGATACATTTGACAACATCAAAATTTAAATCTTCTGCTCTTCAAAAGACTCTCTAACAGTGTGTAAAACCAAGTTATATTCTGGGAGACAGTATATTCAAGTAATGGATTCCACAATATACAGGGGTCTCAAAACACAATAATTAAAAAAAGACCCCGAGAAGGGGCAAAACAATTATAAATCACTTCACCAAATAACATAGGAGGAAGGCAAAATCATAAAATGCTGCTCAACATCATTATTCATTAATGATTAGGTTTAAAACCTTAATGCGTGTTGATTATAGTTAACAATACTCTTGTATAATTTAAAGATGCTAAGAAAGTAGATCGTAAGTGTTCTCTCCACAATGAAACAATGATAATTATGTGAAGTGATGGAGGTGTTAATTAACCTCTCTTGGTAATCATTTCTCAATAGGTACACATATCAAGTCACCACATGGTTTGCCTTAAACTTACGCAATATAATACGTCAACTACACCTCAATAAAGCGGGAGAAAAGCTCAATGAGGTGGCGCTGCCCATCAGAACATCTAGCTGATGAGCATGTGGAGGAACTGCCACTTTCACACACTGCTGACGGAGTAGGAGAATGGTGTAAATATTAGAAAAACCGTTTTGTTTACGCATCACTGTCAAAAATTAAACATGCATCAACATAATATTTAGCCATTCCACTCCCACGTATTTACTCAAGAAATGACACCACATTTCATTACATGTGTTTATGAGGAAATGTCCATAGCAGCTTTATTTGTAATAGCCTAAAACTAGAAACAACCCAAATGGTTATCCACCTGAGAATGAATAAACAAATTTTGGGATTGCCAAGCAAGGGACTACAACTCAGCAATAAAAAGTAATGAATTATTGGCACACACAAAAATAGGGATGACTTTCAAAATAATTATGCTGAGTAAAAGGCACCAAATAAAAAGAGTGAATAATCTATAATTACATTTACAAAAAAAAATCAAACTAATCTATAATTACACTAAGTAGATAA